AAACATTTTTCTTGTAAAACAAAGGGGGGCCAGCAAAAAGGTTTGGGAACCACTGAGTTACAGCAAAGTATAGTAGATTGTATATATATAGTGTGACATGAATGTAGTAACAAGGTCAGTGACACTAATGACACTTACTGAGCACATCAGTAAAAAGTGAATTCTGCTACTTTCAGTCTTTGTGCCTTGGTGATAATTTATTAAGTTGAAATCTTCTGTGTGCGTGTAAAAACATTTCAGATCATTTTCCCTAAATGAAAAATCAAAAGTATAAAAGCATGGCCAGGTAAAGGTCCTTGTGTTCCCTTTCTAAGTGCTGTGTAACGTGTTCTTGCAGATGCATTGATATGTTTAGATTTAGGCGTTTAAATCCTCGAGGTTCCAAACACACAAGATATTTGTGGCACATAAATTACATTTTAAATACTCTTTAGTCTGTTTTTTATACCTGATATATCTCGTGGAGTGAAGTATTCGTTTTCTTTTTTTATGCATGAAAACGTATTTTTAAAAAAATGATGTCATAACAGAAAAGCTCCATTGTATTAGATTTAGCAACGAGCTCGTTTCAGTGCTGTTCCTGCACAGGTACAAACCCTCTATACTTTCAATGAACATCATCATCATCACCATCAGCTCATTGCAGTTTAATTTGGACCAATATTTTCTGCACAAAATACCCAAAGAAGACTAAAATCAGGCGTTTGAACGCCCTAAAAAGTGACCAAGAGCTCCTTAAAAATGATGCCAACAACAAAAGTGATGTGATTTTGTTTATAATGTATCAAAGAAATTAACTAAATTTGAACAAAATAAAAAGGTTCAATGTTATAAAAGCTATAGTTTAAATGTTTAACATTTAGTAAAAGCATTGATTTGATATAATCTAAAAATATTGAGTCAGTACGACTCAGCTAAAGTATCTGAGCTAAATTCATTTACATGGATTAAATATCTAATGAGGATATTGTTACATTTTCAAAGAGAAAGTTGCTTATTTACTCGATATCTGCTTCACAATTTTTCAAACAGAACAACTTACAGCAACTTAAAAAGTCAAATTCTAGTTTGAAAAGGTGCCAAAAAGGTCATTTTGTTTCCTTACACTTTTATTCTGATCAGCCCATTTTTAAGTGTTTATATGCTACAGCTAACTTGCATCATGACTACAGATTAAAATGTATTAACACCAAGTCAGTTTTGAATGATCAAAATATTAAAATGTTTATTCAATATAACCGGACAATGTGTCAGAAATTATTTTGCAGAAATACTTTTTTGATTCTGTTTTTTCAGCC